CCAGAGAATCAGACTTGGAAGCCGACAGAACTTCTACCAAGAAAGAAGGCATTGCACAACAAGTGGGTGTATCAGGTGAAAACTACGCTTGGTGGTACAAGGCTGAGTTGAAGTTGATATGTCAACTGAGGGTGTTACTCGTGAAACTTCAGCTGGTCTTCTGACACGAAGACAAGTCTTTGAGTTGCATAGGTGAATGATATCATGTTTGAGGAAAAGGTCGGTACCACTAGTAGATGATGCAGCCAGTAGGTGATGGAGTAAGTGTCCCAGTCTTCAAGTAAAAGAATTGTTGGGTAATGTGGAGACCAGGTCCACCTCAATTTAAATAGCTTCTTTATTAAGAATCTCACATACCGCTGACTTACCTTCCCACCTACCTCCCACCTATTGCTCTCCTAGTTTCTATAAATAACCTCTTATGACTTGTCATAAGCTAAGCCACAAGCCAAGCCAAGTCCTCTAAGAGAGAGAGAGAGAGGAAAGGAGAGAAGAACATAAAGATTTTCTTGTAAACGTCGAGGCACTCGACGATGTAATTCCTCAAAGTAGTAAAATCCCCTGCTGCTCTGTGGACGTAGGCAAATTTGTCGAACCATGTAAATCTGTGTGTTGCTCTGATGTTTTTATGCGTGCAATTTTTCTTGTTTTATTTTTCGTTTTATTGTCGTCGTTTTTTCACAACAGTAAAGCTAGAGCTCATGCATACTTGAACATACCTTCTCAAAAAACTTGAGTCAAAGTAACATGGGCGGCTGCTGGTTCTAAATCCCTTACTAAAATAGGTTAATAAAACTTCTCAAACCTTCTCACGACATTTGCACGCTAGCAAATTAAGCCACAAAAAATTACTTGAACTCCCTGAATGATGTAACTGGTTTGTAAGTAAATTTTTGAACCAGTGAAGAACTGATTCCTTTGGTAACATAAAGAGCAGTTAATATTTTAGAGCATCATTAATCCTTAATAGGCTGTCGGCTAACTTGAATGAGGATACGTGATAGGCCCATTGTAAGACTCCAAAACTTGAAGTCTAAATTTCTCTATTGCAATTCATATTGATTAAGTCTTCTTGCTACACCATCTTCTTCGTGTAAGGTCCCTTGTCTAGTCTATGACATGATTCATGCTCACCACATATTTTAGGATGCTATATTCCAAAATATCTATAGATTCACACTACTTAGGCTCATCCCCCAATGAGAACAAACTCAATCCGAGTGAATCTCCTTTCCGAGTGAAGGATCATCCTCATATTTACAGAGTTAAGGATGACTAATCCGCCACGAAGGTTACAAAAGATGTACCCAAAGAAATAACACGTAAACTGATTAGAGTACGATAATGTATTTGTTTGTGTAATTGACCATTTTTGTGAGGAATTCAAACTGGATGATAAAATGTTTGTCATACTTTGCAGCAGGTACTCGATGGATGATAGTCGACAATTAGTATTTGACAGTTGGTACTTATCAACTTGTACTCAATAGTTGGTACTTGGCAACTGATGCTTGGTACTTGACGACCGATATTTAGTAGCCGGTGCTTGACAACTAATATTTGACGGCTAAAGCTAGGCAATTAAGCTTTTAGGAATTTTGCCAATGTAAAAGGCCAATTAAGTCAGGTTCTGCTAGTCTTGGATGACTGTTTCTTTATACACAATATCATGCAAATTCTTTTGTATTTATGTATGTAAGATTTAAGCATTCACATTTACATGACAATCACTTAAACATTGTCATCATATAAAAATTATCATTATTATTAACTTTCTAAAAATGGAATGCATTTTCTTATGCATGGCTTTATCACACCTAAGTATTATAAATGTAAGTATGAAAGTAATTTAAGTTATGTAGGATGCATTAGAATTGTGTGCGGTATATATGTAATTTTTTTTATTATATTTATAAATCAAAATGATTCTCATGGTGAGTAAATTATTATTATTGACATGCCGGCAATAAATTTCCTTCACTCGACATGAATCTCGATGCATGAAACAAATCTGGAGGCAATCTTTTGAGCAAACAAATATTCAAACTTTAATTAAGAGTCATCCAGTGCTCTAATTTCAGCAAACTGACAGTCAAACTGACGTGCTAGAGGAGATGAACCCAATGATAACAAAAATGATCGAATCCAAATTAGATAAAGTTCATGCAAACTATTAAACCACTTTTGAAAGCTTTGCTGACATATTTGGAAAGTCAAATGAATGTCGAATCGGGTGAGTTTATAGTCAAATCGAGTGCCTCAGCAAGAAGAATCTAATGAGCCTATGATCGCTCAATTCCGACATCGTTAATGCTCTTAAATATCCATCAAATTTTGTCTGATCCAAGGAATCTCTTCCGGTCGTTTGATCGGTGGTTCAGATTCATTCATTGATTGCAACCTCGTAATGTCATCTGCACTAATTCAAGAGAAGTGTAGGCATATGTATGTGAATTATTTCAAATGGGTTAGACTTCGTGATTTATCCCCCTTTCAAAGGTATTCGGCATAAAAAGTCGAGGTGTCTCCCCCTACTTAATTTTCTTTAATCACTGTTGTGTGTGTTGGTTCTCCAAGCATACTAAAACGATAAATAATCACCGCTCCAACGCCACAAATCTCCTAACACGCATCAATTATTATTTTGTTAAACACCAAAAATGCATAAAATAATTTGATTCTTAATCGTTATGAAAAAAGCTAATATTTTCCATTTTCATCAACGAAAGTGGAATTAATAAACTCTAAAAATCATAAATAAAAGCCAAGAGGTCGATTAAGCAAAGCAAATTAAAACATACTCTAAGAGAAATATTATAATTATTTTTTTGGAAAATTTTATGGCTGTCAAATATTTAGATATTTACATCTCTAACACCTAAAATTCATTTTTTTTACATATATGTTACTTTACCTATAGGAGTGTACACGAACGAATACGAGCGAGCCCAGACTTAGCTCGTGTTCAGCTCGTTTATATTTCGAGCTTAAATAGTGTGTTCGTGTTTGGCTTGTTTGTTTAGCGAGCCGAACACGAGCTGTTCACGAACAAAGAGTCATATTGAGCCAAAACGAGCCAAAACGATTAGTAGTATTTTGAGCCAAAATTGATTAGTAGTATTTTGAGCCAAAATTTTAGTAGATATATAATTGATTAGTAGTATTTTGAGCCAAAACGAGCTGAACGTAAGCTTCTTAACGAGCCAAACACGAGCTGTTCGCGAACAACTAGCCGTTTTGACAGCCCGATTTACCTATGTATGTAATATAAAATTTAGGCGTGAGATATGTAAATGCATAAAAATTTGGGTGGTATGTATGTAAATGCATCGTCTTTAAATGACTTGATTTAGCAAAAAAGACTGTTTTCTTTAATCATGCTGCGAAAATTAATAGTCAATTGGACAGGACGACGTGACAGAGACTTCAATTCACCGACTAAAGTCGTTCAATTCAAGTTCCACAGCTGATATTAAGCTGTTTATAATATTATTTTAATCAGTTTTAAAGTTAATTTCAATCATTTAATGCGGATTAAAAAAAAATAAAATTTAAGAGCTTTAATCCCAACTTGGTATTTTCAATGGAAATTATTAAAAATAAATTTAGAATTATTTGAGTTTAATAATTTCAAAGAAATTTATGGTCAAACTTAATATATATCACATGGAAAATGGTGATAATTGATTCTAAATAAGGCTAAAGTAAGAATTGAAACATTGTTGAAAACTTTGTGAAATTGACTTGGGGAGACAGGCGAGGAGGCAACGCGACACCGCACGGTAATTTTATTTATTTTGGTAAATTGCAGTTTTATAGTTTTTTTTTCAAAATGCTGTCGTTGAAATCTGCATTTTTTCACCGATCCTGACATGATGTTGTGACAGCTTTCTAGCTACGGTTTGACTTTTTTTTTTAAAATAAAAATTATAATTACCGCTGTGACTTTTTAAACATCAGATTATATGCTAACATTGTAACATCTGTTTTTTAATAAACTGTAACTATTTCAAAAGAAACCTGACTATTTACATGATGTTTGAAGATTATTTATTTATAATTGAATCAACCAACTAATATCACTCAATTCCAATACTATGATTTTATGTAAATGTTTATGGTTTTATTTGATTTTTAAGTCTATAGGGATGCATCAAGCAATAATGTTAACCTATGGAGTTTCATAGTCCATAAGGCCTATATAATGGACGTGGCTTAAGGACTATATAAAAAATGAAGATTTACATACATGATTTTATTTATCAATGATAATTAATTCAAGTTTTAATTTTGAATTATATGCTATTTCTTTAATTAATTTTTTTAATAAAAAGTTTGCCCTCTCAACCCTCCTCAAAAAAGAGACTAGTTCCAACATTGAACGAGCCAAACACGAACAACATTACGTTCGATCATGTTCGGCTCGTTTTAACTCAAAATAAATAAATTACATATATTATTTACATAATAATATATTATATATTCATATTTAAATTTAAATCATAACAATTTATGTGGTCATGCGGTTCTGAGTCTTTTAACACAGAAGTGTTGTAGGTTCGAATCCAACAACATTGATTTATTTTTTTAATTAATTTAAATGAGTCAATTTCGAGTTGAACACGAACAAAAATATATAATTCAAGCCGAACATAAACACACTGTTTACGATCAATTTCAAACATGAGTTAGTTTCAAAGACGAATCGAACACAAGATAAACACGAGCTTGCTCAAGCTGGGCTCCTTTACGACCCTACACATAGCTCTTATATCTCTACCTGTCACACACCGAAACTTGAATTTTTACATATATGTCACCCCACTATCACATAAAAATGTGTATTTCAGTATTTTTTAAGTTAAAATAATTGCATTTAAAATATGATTTGAAAAATTTTGGGGGCATAAATATAAAAAAATAAATTTAGGTATGCAAATTACCAAAAATACATAGAATTAGGTGATATGTATGTAATGTAAATGCCCCAACTTCAAAAGATGGGGCTTGCCTATAAGCAACTCAAAAATTCCTTCCTAGGGTTTTTTTCCGCGCTGCGATGGATGCTACGAGGCTTCTGAAGGAGAAGAAGTTCTGGATTGCTTCCTTCATAGTCGTTTGGGCTGCAGCTCTTCAGGTCTTCGTGCGTAATCATATGCTTATTCTCCTTCGGAAAACTGCTTTTCCTTTTTCCCCAGTTCATTTGCGTTCAATTTCTTATTCGTCTGCAGGGCCATATGATGTGGATGCAGAAGCAAGATGCGTTCCAAAAGAAATTTGGTAATCAGATCGAAAATCATGAGGAGGAGGACTTGAGTGCTTCTTAATCGGAGCCGATTGCTTTGGAAAGTAAGAATCGAAACCAACTTGTAAATGCAGCACGATTTTATTGATTTCTGCGCTGTTTTTAGATGTTTTCTTGCTTTCTATTGGAGGTTATTACATTTTGAATGTGATTTGTTTTTATATTTATATCTCTTGTTGGATTAGAAATTGGTTTAAAATTTTTGATTTTGTGACAGATGAATGAACTGTAACTATGTTTAACAGAGAGAAATGAATTATTTTTTTTAGGAGTGAATTGAATGAACATATAGAATAGGGGATGGAATGCACTGTGAGAAGCTGTATTTATTTATTTTTTGAAAGGAATGACCAAAGACTATTATACGAGCTTGCAGCCACCGCTAGTGTGTCTAACCATTCGAGTACCACCTCCTTAGGGCCAAACTATGCTAGAGGGATATGAACCCCTGACCATAGGGGCTTATACCGTGGATGCCAACCAATGGGTTGGGGCACGCGGCACCAATGTGAGAGGTTGTATGTAATTTGATAGTAACTTATAATGTTGTAATAGTAAATACATAAATTAGAGAATGAGAAGCATATCTCTTTTGTCTTGGAAGGAAAGAACATAAATTGCCAAGCTTATCAAAACTATTTTATGAGGGAGTTTGAAAACATTGCATAAAGTTGTTATATGAGTATATTTCTAATTGCATGAAGAAAATGTTCACAAGAAATAATTGCCTTATGTCAAAAATAGCCTTATGACAAAATGCGAAATGAATATATCTGTGATAGGGTTGGTGTAGCTCCAGTGACAGACAAAATTAAAGAGAGTCGCCTTCGATGGTTTGGTCACATTAAATGTCGACCATCTGATGATCCAATTAGAAGAGTAGATGTTTTATATTCGACTTACGTTAAGAAAGGCAGACGTAAACCTAGGATTACTTGGGCATATTGTATAAAAATGACCTTAATTTATTAGACTTAAATGAAATTATGATACTAAATAGGAGGCAATGGAGAAAAAAGATTCATGTAATCGACCCCACTTAGCGGGATAAAGGTTTTGTTGTTGTTGTTATTGCTGTTGTTGTATGTCAAAGAATGAATTTTAAAAGGTAAAAATTTATTAATTTTTCATACTAGATTGTTAAGAGATATAAAATGAAAATTTATTATCTAAGCTAAAGTTGATGTGAAATTAGATGACTAATTCCATTAACAAGGCAAACATAGAAGTTTTTGAAGGTTTAGAAGCAAAGAACATATTAATAAGGAGATTTAATGGCGGAGTGGATGCATTTAAACTATTATTAAGTAAAAGATATGCTTTTTAAAATTGCTAAAAGAAAATTATTATGGAGACTTGCAATCATTATTACAAAACTATATGTCTTGTTATGTGCCACCAGCCGTGACCTGTTGCTAGAGCAGCCTCTTTGAAGGTAGTAAGTCCTCTTAGGTCGTAAGTTCAAATCCCCCTCTGGCCAATGTTGCCGGTAGTGAGAGCGGGTCAAATCCCGAGACTTGCAATCATTATTACAAAACTATATGTCTCTGGCCAATGTTGCTGGTAGTGAGAGCGGTTCTTGAATAGTTAGGCACATGACGGTGACTGGGGGCTCGTATGATAGCCTCCGGCCATTGTTAAAAAAAAAAAAAAAACTATAGTTTTGATAATTTATATAATAGGTTTGGTGTTATGAAATGTTGCATTAGAAGTGAGTTGAAAGAAGCTTGGTTAAAATAAAGGCAGCTAAGTAAGTTAAAAATGCTACTTTGAGAAATTATTAATTGAATTATTAGAACAAAATGACTTTAAGGAGATCAATAAGCCAAATTATGAGTTATATCATAGGTTGAAGTGAAATGGTTAGTTTGAAGAAGATGCATAAAATGAAAGCTAGGATTTCTATGGGATTTTTATTGAGATTTATAATTCTAGCGATAAGAGTTGATGGCTAATATGCATAGCAGCCTTGAGGGCTATTATGTAATAAGAAGACATTATGAAAATTTGAAGGCAAATTTCACAAAATTACAATTCAGGCAACTATGTTACATGTATTTAAGTTTTGTGCAATAGAAAGTCATTCATGGCTAAGTTGAGTGTGGCCAAACAAAAAGAAGAGTGTGTGTTGAAATGGATGCGTGATAAAATTATAAAATTAAACTATGGAATAGTTATGTTAAAGGAATGATTGGAGTGACATGTATCGTGCTTGTTTTATGAATAGTAGAAAAAAAAGGGAATTTACATTCACACCAAACAATTCTTATGTATTTACATATCTAAGGCCTTGATTCTTATAAACCTATGCATGAAAAGTGTATTTCACTTTTGAAAAGGTAATGATGGTGATATTTTTTATGACATTTTAAAGATTTGAGTGGTATGCATGTAAAGATGAATGTTTAGGTGTTAGATGTGTAAATATAGAAGAATTGTGTGGTATGCATGTAAATGCTCCTAAAAAACAAAGCATCTATTTGAATTTTAGATAAAGCAAGTGTCAAATATTTAAGAAGGAAAAAAGAGTATATTCAAGGTAACATGAATGAGAGTAAATAGGATCAAATTGAAAATAAGGATTTATAAAACCAACCCCAAATAGTTGGGATCAGGCTAATGCTGTGGATGTTCATATCAGAAAGCACAAATGAAGTTATCTTTTAACTTCTAAAAGGAAAGCAACCATTTTTTAATAGGGGCATTTGCATACATACCACCCAATTCCTATATTTTTACATGCCTAACACCTAAACTTTTTCTTTTTTACATTTATACCGCTCAAGTCTTTCTTATCACATCAAACATACCACTATTTTAACTTCTCAAATGTAAAACAATTTTTCATGCATAAATGAGTTTGGGTGTTAGATATGTAAATACATAGGAATTGAGTGGTATGTTTGTAAATCTTCCTTTATAATATTTTGTTATATAGAAGTGAATTAAAACAATTTTGGTATACTTCTCTTGCAACTATTATTTGCATTCTTATTTATATTGCTATTTTTCATCAATGATAGAGTCCATGTTACACAATTTCTATATATATATTTTTAATTTCAATACATTCAATTGCAATTTAAAATTACACAAATTGAGCTAAAAGCAGTATTTTGATATAATCATTGATTTGATTCCTCAGAAGTTGCAGAAAAAAGGAGGCGGCAACTCTGAAGCTCAATGGTTGGCATCCCTTAAAAGAAAGGGAAATTTACATACATGCCCTAGATATCTCATGTATTTACATATCTAAGATTTAAAGTTTGATATTTACATTTGTAACATAAGGATGGTGGTGTTTTTGGTGTCATGCTAAAAATTTGAGCGGTATGCATGTAAATATGAATGTAAAGCTTTGGTGGTATTTTAGATCTTCTAATTAGGGCTGTCAATTTGGCTCGTTGTTCGCAAACAACTCGTGTTTGTCTTGTTAAGTAGCTCGTGTTTGGCTTGTTCGTTAAGCTTAACGAGCCGAACACGAACAAATTTTTAAGCTCGAAATATAAACGAGTCGAACACGAACAAATATTTGTTCGCTCGTGTTCGACTCGAATTGGCTTGAAAAAAGTTGTTCGTGTTTGGCTTGTTTGTAATTTGAGCTTGAAAATTTTGTTTTTGTTCGACTCGCTTACTTAATAAACTCAAACTATTTAACTAGTTGAGCACGAGCTATTTGCGAACTATGAATTTTTTTTGATAGCCCTATATTCCTATGTATTTATACACGTAACAACTTCATTATCTTTTTTTAGATTTATACCTTTAAAAATTTCTATATCATATCCAAAATATTATTATTTTAAGTCTTTAAGCATGAAGTGCATTTTTTCACACGAAAATAATATGGCATATGTGATATATATATAATTGAAGTTTTAGTGTTATGCCTCTAAAAGTGAAATACACTTTTTGTTTAATCAACGGTTTGATGTGCGCTGATCGGACCTGAACCTGTTGTGGTGCTTAAGACTTTTGTACACCATAATTCTAAGTGTAGAAGTCTCACGTAAGTATACACATCGTTTAAGTAATATTGAATTTTTGAGTCTGGAATATCGATTCCCCAGGGAGTGACTTAATTAACTTAAGAGAAGTTCTAACTTAATAAAATTGATCTTAGCTTGGAAGTAACGTTGGGTTTAGGTTGTGCTAACTATTCCTAATAAATTCTAGCAAACTATATTAAAGGTTCACTCATACAAAAATCATACTAAATATATATTAATTGGTGAAAAATCAAGGTATAAATCTACTTTTCCTTGCAATGATATAAGTAGCGTGTAGGAAAATGAATACATTAAATTATAACTATGACTAGTGACAAATATGAAGAATTTTGTTAACCCTCTTCTGAGTGTATAAAATTTTTTTGTTAAATTGGTTTTAATTCCTTAAACCCCAATTTGAATCCATCAAAGATTTTTTCCTTATCTATTTGGATTTCCCTTTAGTTTACTTTTGTTTTATACCTTATAGTTCAACGTGATCTTCTTAGTTGTTCATGTCATAACTCTCCAGAGTCATTATGGGTTCACAACTGATTTTAATAAATTATTTGACAAGAATGATAAGTAAATAAAATACAGAAGGAAAATCATCACATTAAAGAGAAAATCAATTTTAAAAGCATTCTAATATTCATACATAACCCACTTATTCATTACAAGGGAAAAGGTAAAAAAACAGCTCACAAAACATGAAAGAATTACCACAAATCATAGTTGGAATAAAACAATCCACTAAAATTGTGTTTCCAGAAAAATACAATACAAAAGCCTACACAATTTTAGTTTTTTTTCTTTACAAAATGCTAGAAATATCTCCCCCAAAGGATCTCCCAATCCCTGTTAATCCTCTTTATAATTATTCCTCAAAATCCTCACCAAACTCTCGATACAATGCAAACTAACTTCTTCTCCTACAAGTCTCCGACTCTAAGCTCTCCTCTCCATCCCAAGTGTTCAGAAGGCCTCCAAAAAAATACCTCAAAGAACTGTCTATAACCTCTCCATAGCTCCCCAAGTCGTGGGAGAAAAACTGTAGAAAACTATCAAGCAATTGCTGGCGCGTAGGCACAAGACTCTCTCTCTGGTCGGGTAAGTACTGGCGCCTAAACGCCAATTCCTTGAGTTACAAATGCTTTAAATCAGCTCCGTTTCTTCTCCACTTCGTTCTACTTCTTTCCACATTTACAATCTATTGTACATGTAAGAAACATATAAAAATATCTTTCTTTAAAGTGTAATTTCATCCATAAAAATTATATAAAATATAAAAGAAATTAATCATGTTTTACACACATCACACACATACAGTGTATATTGTCCTCACCCATGAAAATTCTCAGATTAGGGTTTGAAGCACTTTCGCATTTGGCGAAGCTTCTGTAAACACGATGTCCGCAGAACTAAAGGGATGCAGGATTCGAAATAATAAAATAATATTATTTCTGCGAATAAATTGTAGAGTACGCTCGAGAGGAAAAATTATTCCATGTGGATCGGCGTCCGCACGCAGCTTGCGTGCGGACACCGATCTGGACCGTAAATCACATGATTTACGGTCCTGATGTATTTCGGTGGGCCCCACCTAAAATTATTTATTTATTTTTTTTAAAAATGGAAATAATCCTGACCGTAGATCACCGTGATCTACGGCCAGGATCGAACACCGCATGCAGAGATGCATGCGGTGTCCGCACGCAATAATCTCCCGCTCGAGAGACGCTTCGCTGCTTCATTTTAAGTGAATGACAACCAACGCATAACGCGCGCTCTATCGGAGCCCAGATCAAGGGAGAAAAAAAGTGCCTTCGCCAGCTTTACATGAAGACGTCGCCACCACGCCATTCCATTCGCTGGCCCCCACACATCTAATCCCCACCGTCCGATCCAATCACGGTGACGTCTGCGAGATCTGTAAAAAATCATAAGCACTAACATTTGCAAGAAAATTCAATATATTTTCTTTACATGCATTCGATCAGCTTTAGCAACCGTGCCATCAACGCAAATATCTTCGTTTTTTGAAAATTACACACGTGGGAACATTACCCTCACACGACCACGGTCTCGTATTGCCACCTGTAAACGACTTATTGGTTTTCGGATATTCGCGCAGTTTATGCTCTCTCTCTCTCTCTCCTTACCCTTTCTCTCTCTAGGTTTCTCTGTGTCGCTTTTGAAGTCTTTGCCGGTCGCTAACTGCGAGGGATCGACCAGCGATGTAATCTTGCACCTATAAATAGGGGACGCAGCGGGCTCGCCAAGGATCCGATCGGTTTCTCCTCAGCTTACATCGTCATCTAGAGTTTTTTAATCGCTCCGCTGCTTCTAGATTTGAGGTTCGATCTGTTCCCTCTCTTCTTTGCAGTTTTTGTTCATATTGGTTGGATTTTTTGAGATCGGATGCTGTCTCCATTCTCGAGGGATTTTCTGGCGTTTTCGGTGTGATCTGCGGAACTTATATTTTGTGGTTGGTTGATCTGTGATGGTTTGAGAGAATTATTTTTCTGCGATTGGAGCTAGAATTCATGTCCTGTACTTTTGTTATGGGCGTGGAATGAATACATTAGGGATCCATGATGTGCTAAGTGTCGTACAGCTTTGGATGCTTTTTATTTTTTTATCTATAGATGCCGATCTTTTACATTCTGCTGTTCTAGCTGATGGATCTGCCTCATGGGTTTTGAAATATACGTCTTGATGTTTATTTTCGCATTTTAGTTTTAGCCAGTGGATTTGCACTCATGGTTTTTTCTTGCGGCCAAGTCGTGCGAACTACGAACTATTTTTGTAATTGATTGTATAAATGGTTATTAGATTATATTTGATTTTTTCCGATCCTTCACATTTCCTTCGATGCCATTCTATGAAACTTGAATTCTCCCTGTTGTGAAAAAGGATGACAATAAAGTGAAAAATTGGAATGTGAAAAATTCCACACAGAAAAATACCAGAACAACACACAGTTTTACGTGATTCGATAAATTTATCTATGTCCACGGAGCTGCAGAGGATTTTATTTCTTTGAGGAATTACACCGTCGAGTGCTTCGACATTTACAAGAAAATCTCTATTTTCTTCTCTCCCTTCTTCTCTTTTTCTCTTCCTCTCTTTCTCTTAGCTTTGGCTTGAGGCTTAGCTTTTCCTTTAAGCCAAAAGAGACTATTTATAGAAATCAGGAGAGCGGTAGGTGGGAGGTAGGTGAGCGGTAGGTGGGATGTGGTAGGTGAACAGTAGATGGGTGTGGTAGGTGAGCGGTAGGTAAGATACTTAATTAAGAAGCTAATTAAATTCGATGGACCGGGTCTCGACCCAACAATTCTCCTACTTGGAGACTGAGACACTGAATGCATCACCTACTAGCTGCATCATCTACTAACTGTACCGACATTTTCCTCAAACATGATATCCTCCACCTCTGCGAGTCAAAGCTCTGTCTTCATGTCAGAAGACTAGCTGAAGTTGAGCACAACTTCAACTTCTCACGAGTAACACCCTCAGTTGACATATCACCGTCAATGTAGCCTCGTACCACCAAGCTCTTTCCTGTGTTACTCTTGTATCTGCTTATAACTCCCACTGCATGAGCAATATCATGTTTCTGCTGAAAACCCTTTCAACAAGTCCAGCCATGTATCTCTTACTGTCACCAAACATAGTCTTCACCCGGTACACCCACTTATTGTGCAATGTCTTCTTCTTTGATAGAAGTTCTGCCAACTCCCAAGTCTGGTTCCCTGGTAGAGAATCCGTCTCCTTCTTCTTGGTCAGCTCTCACTTGCTCTAATTCTCATCTTGCAAGATTTTTTCATAACACTGTGGTTCTCCACCATTTGTCTGTACAAGGTCCGTTTTTCCTGCCTTTGGCGCTCTACCGCTTTTCAGGAAATTGACATTCTTTTGCTTCCCCATAACGCACTTTTGACTCATGTGTTATCGCCTGAGTAAACCTGTAGTCATAAATAGTGTGTCAGTTTTCTTATCCCGAGCCATTACTAATGCTCCTTTGGTAATCTTCCAGGTGCTATCTGAGAACACCACTGAATGACCACCCTCATTGAGCTGCCCAACAGAAATGAGATTTTTCTCCAACTCAGGAACGTGTCTGACCTTTTGCAATGTCCATTTGCTCTTATTAGGGAGTACAATATCAACGTCTCCCATCCCACCACGTCCAGAGCTTTTCCATCAGTCAGATGTATCTTTTCAAAGTTACCTGCAACATAATTTCGCATTAACTCCTGGCGGGAAGATGTATGAAATGAAGTCTCTGAATCCAGTATCCAGTTATCAACAGAACTGTGAACTGTCAGCAATAATACATCATGTATTTCTTCAGTTACAACATTAATGCCATCATACGTCATTCTTCTTCTTCTTCAGAGGATCCCTGCAATTCCTTTTTATGTGACCAGCATTGCCATAATTCCAACAGGTTGTCTACTGACCAAACTTTGATTTTGATCTTCCTTTGCTTGAGTTCCTGTAATGTGATCTCTCTGGAATCAACATTCAGCGCCGAACATGAACACGATGCCTCGTCAGAATCCTTCCTGTGTACCTCCTCAACCAAAATCAAATCACAAATATCATCATATTTTAACTTCGATTGACCTGCAGAACTGCTAATTGTCATCCTCATGGCTTCCCAACTATTTGACAATGAAATCAACAATATCAGTGCACGTATTTCATCATCAAAATCAATTTCAACAGACGACAATTGATTTGTGATAATATTGAAATCATTCAGGTGTTGAGCAACAGAGACACCTTCCACCATCTTCAAGTTGAATAACTTTTTCATCAAATGCATCTTGTTAATCGCTGACTTTTCATACATACCTGATAAAGTCACAATGAAATCTGCAGCAGTCATCTCTTTGATGACGTTGTGGGCAACCGATCTCGACATGGTTAATTGTATAACCCCCAGAACCTGTTGATCCAACAGATTCCATTACTCCTCGTCCATCTTTTCTGGTCGCATTCCCAGTAACGGAAAATAAAGTTTCTTCCCATAGAGGTAGTCCTCTATCTGCATTCTCCAGTAAGTAAAATCTGTGTCATTGAACTTCTTGATCCCCGATGTCATCACTTCGTCTCCGCCTATTGTTCTTCCTTAGATTCGAACCCAAGGCTCTTATACCATTTGTTGTGAAAAACGACGACAATAAAGTGAAAAATTGAAACGAGAAAAATTGCACGCAGAAAAATACCAGAACGACACACAGATTTACGTGATCAGACAAATTTGCCTATGTCCACGGAGCTGCATAGGATTTTATTTCTTCGCAGAATTACATCGTCGAACGCCTCGACGTTTATAAAAAAATCTATATTTTCTTTCTCCCTTCCTCTCTCTTTCTCTTCTTCTCTTTCTCTTAGCTCTCAAGAGGACTTGACTTGAGGCTTAGCTTTTCCTTTAAGCCAAAAAAGACTATTTATAGAAACCAAGAGAGCGGTAGGTGGGAGGTAGGTGAGAGGTAGGTGGGAGGTAGTTGAGCGGTATGTGGGATGTGGTAGGTGGGAGGTAAGTGGGATGTGGTAGGTGAGCGGTAAGTGAGATACTTAATTAAGAAGCTAATTAAATTTGGTGGACCAAATCTCCACATTACCCAACACTCCCGGTATTTAGAATGCTCGAAATCTAAATGTTCTTGAACTAGACAAATGATTGAACTGCTTGCCATTTCTTAGCTGAACAATGCGGACTACCTTGTCTTCCTGGGTTATTTGTATTTTTTATAAGCGAGTTAGTAATTGGATTCTGATCGTACATTTTGTTTATCATAGCTTCTTTCTCTCCCCCTCATCTGCACTTTTGTCCTATTCTCCACAGTCACCTGTTTCTGTGAACTGGGGTTCTACTTTTGAGCGGAGGGATTAACTGATATATTTAACTTGTAGACCCATTATGACAAGGTGAATTAATAAATAACTTAGGCCCTCAGATCTATTATTTATTTAGATGGATATATACACGCATACATACTTATAATATATGATCATATCAGGTGAATTGGCTTTCTGATTGACTACATTAAAGTGAAAAATGGGCTTTATATAGCTTCCAAAAAAAAAAAAAAACTTGAAGATATTCTGACATAAGAACACGTGTGTTCAGAATAATAAGATATTGATTAAAATTGCATGACATTTGATTTTCTAGACCTACCTGTAGAAATAGTCCTTTGTACTATCTTGTATTTTTTTCTAGATTTCCTGTTATTTATATCAAATGTTTTCTTATTTCAAGCAAATTTCTTTCTATCACATCCTTCTTTTTTTTTCTCACTTAGCCAAACTTTATTCATCTTATGGACAAATTTACTCTATAGGAATGTTTAAGATCAAATAGATATCGACATAAATGTAATTCTTAACGTGGTTGCCATCCTCATATTACTAGCTGAATTTCAATTTTTAATCCCAATCTATGGGTTAAAATTTGAGCTGGAATCCCATGTGGGTGTCTGATAGTACAGTTATAAGGTAAACGTCACCATTAAGCTGCCATGTCCCTATTATTTGAGTTCAATCTCTTTATCCACCTTTGCTGCTTCCGTTTCGATCCTTTCATATGTATTGGCAAGCAGTCGGTTTTGATAACCGTTATGGTCATCCTTTTTAATCCTATGACATGAATTTGGTAGGAATTTAATTGGAAAAGCCTTTGCAGTAAAAAGCAAGTTTTTGCAGGCAGGGGGGGGTGGAGAACTTTTTTTACCTCTTTATTACAAGGAAATGAAACTGTTCCAAAATATTTCCTTGATTAATTCAGTCAGATGGTTCATTATGGCCACGAAATGGTAATCCTTATCATATCACCCAATTTCTATGTATTTACATATCTAACACATTTATACCACTGAAAGCTTTCATATCACATGAAAAAGTACCACTAATTTAATTAAAAAAAAGTAAAAAGAATGCATATATAATGTGGTATGTATGTAAAAATTGAAGTTTAGGTGTTAGACATGTAAATACATTAGAATTGAGTGGTATGTAAGTAAATCTACTTTTTTTTAAATGAAAATTTCCCAATTATTTCCCAAGCATTTAAAAGACAAGAATAACAAAAAAATGTAAATTTATTAGGAGATGTACTCACAAAACAATCTGTCATTTCTCAATAAAATATATTAAATTTATTAATCCCATCAAGCAAGAGCTTCATTTGATGCCACTGACGCGAGTAAGTCATCGGCCGACTCGTCCGTTAACCACGTCATCACATTGCCGGTCATCTCTATAGCCATGATATCCTCTTCATCGAAGCGTTTCCATTCATCATTGCACCTTCCATCTTCAACTGTCGCCTTGCCTTTGTACTCCGCCAAGATTTTGCCACCGGTTTGTGGAAGAGCCACAGAGGCAATGTAAGGGGGCATAACAATAATTTAGGAGGGGAGCAGAGGGGACCCAACCTGGGTCCGCCCTTGTTTTCAAGGTTTTTCCATTCTCGATCCATGCTAAATTATGAAATTGCTTTCCAACTTAACTCATCGAAGAAAAAAAAATGGTCTCTAGCACTAGTGGGATGGTAACAATTATTTTACTGGGCTAGTTGCGTTTCTCTTGTCATCATGCATTAGGTAGAGTTTTTCCGTGATCATAAAACTTTTATTCTAATGAACTCTTTTTAGCTTTCTTGATAGTAATGGCAAGCCGTAATCATGAATATATTCCTGCCGTGATTCTATTACCAACAAAGTACGATGCTTCATTTCAATGCAAAAGGCTTCTTTTTGCAATTAGAATAAATTGGTATCACATCAAAGAAGTTTTGGTATCAAATTAGGAAAGAAGAACACAAAAACTATCAAACTCTATCTGGTTGGAAATTAGAATTGGTCGGTTGTAGTTTTATCACAAGAAAATAACCTGTATCATTAAAGCAAAGAAACTATTTCGAAATATTTCAACATTTTGTGATGAAAGCACACTAGCTGACCTCAAATAGTTGGAATAAGCCTTATGATATTGATGTTCTTAGAGTATTTATGTGGTGAAAATACTTGACTCAGGATATGAAGGCGTATTCTGCATGAGCAAAAATCTAATTAATATTGGAGACCTTCCTCAAATTTTCTCTGGCCAATATTGTCTGTAAATGTTTTCAATTTCCTTTTGTATTTTGGTTTCATATATTTGATTACTTACCCTTAACTCAGGTTTGCAGAAATTTCTATTTCCAATTTATGCTAATGAATCTGGAAAACTCTATGTTGATTGGTTGATGTGATGACTGACATCTGTTGTAATTTTTTTATTAGCCACTTAAAATGGATCCCAATAACGAATTACCATATAACTCCACAAAGTCTGTTCACAACCATCCTCCACTCAACGAAAGGATACTGTCATCCCTCTCTAGGAGGTCTGTTGCTGCACATCCCTGGCATGACCTTGAGATAGGTACTCATCCCAATTATTATTCTTTTTCTTAATTGGCAGCACCTTGATTATTTGAATAGAATATCTTCTTAATCACCAAAAATTTTCTCTGATGCAGGTCCTGGAGCTCCACAAATTTTTAATTGTGTGAGTCCGCAAATTTCTTTAGATTCAGCATTAATATGAATTTGATATTTCATTATTCCATCATCACTATCTAGATTCAACTTTGTATACAACTGTTTATACTGAAAGTATTCCAATACTATGTAATTGCTAGTAAGGCTACATGCTATTTTTTAATCTGATCTTTGCTAGAAAAATTGAATGTAGATGGCTACATCTGAAGGTTTTTCACCTTAACTCTGAATTTGTTGTTCCTTCAGCCGGCAATAGGCAAAATCTGTGCTGAGACAGAGAACAGATAGAAAATATAAAACAAAAAAGAAGATCAATGCTTAAAAATACACAAGAAATTTATGTAGGTTCATCCAATTAATGGCTATGTCCTGTTGCCCCCATATAAGAGAAAACCTATGACATCCAACAGATTCATAAAAAATTTTTTAAACTCCCTTCATGAAATAATCACAAATATCCCAGTTTTTGCTATGAATAGAAAATATACCGCAGCCACAAAATATCATAAAAAAATAATGACTTCCTTAAGAAATTAGCAGAAATATTGGATTAGTTTTTGGTGCTTCACCTCCTAAGCTCCAGGAATTGTGCTCCCACTCCTTTAAATAGCCGCGACTTACTTGATAGTTGATCCATGTTTAAATCTAGGTTGTGCATTGTGCAAAAATTAGGCTCCGCTCCATAATTCCACAATATTAGCTGAAATGGGTTTCTAACTTATTTTCATTGATACATGTTATTTATGTTTTTTTATTTAATAATAAATTTTGATATCTTAGAGCTCCATTGTTTATTCAAAGAAACCCTGAGAAGTTTCCATTTTTCATCCAGTCTTTTAATTTTTACATTTGTTGCTAATTGAAATTTCTTCAATCAGGATCGTTCAACCTTCATTTTCTAATTTCTTCAGGTTGTGGAGATTGGAAAAGGGAGTAAGGTGAAGTATGAACTCGACAAAAAGACTGGCCTTATAAAGGTAATTCAGGAAACTTTCATTTTGATAGTGAGAAAAAAAGAGTTCATTTGCCTCCTCTTTTGTTGCAGGTAGACCGTGTTCTGTACTCATCTGTAGTGTACCCCCACAACTATGGATTCATTCCACGAACACTCTGTGAAGATAATGATCCTCTGGATGTTCTGGTTCTCATGCAGGTCCTCCATTACAAAAAAAAAAAAAAAAAAGAAATTATTTATTGTTCTCATCTAGTTAAAAAGGTTTCTTCATGTGTATTATTCTTCATTCTTGTTTGAACAGGAGCCAATCCTCCCAGGATGTTTCCTTCGTGCAAAAGCTATAGGCCTCATGCCTATGATTGATCAGGTGTTTTTAAGCATATCCAAATCAAATTTATATCATCTAGATTAAACTTTTGATGTGGTTATTAACGCTGCTGATGTATTACGCACGTTGTTCCAAAACAGGGAGAAAAGGATGACAAAATAATTGCTGTTTGTGCCGATGATCCTGAATACAGACATTATACAGACATCAAGGAGCTCCCACCTCATCGTTTGGCTGAAATCAGGCGCTTCTTTGAAGATTGTATCCTCATATTTCTATGTCACTTTTAAGGCTGTGAATTTAGCCTGAAGATCATTAAGAGGTTGGATTGAAATAAACGAGCCGACCTATGGGCCGAAACATTTGATCATTTTTTTTAGCCGATTTTGAGCCATATATGGATCAACTCAAACTAACTCAAGATTGACTCGTACTATATATATATATATATATGTATGTATATATGTATATATGTATAATGTTATGTAAAATTTAATATAAAGATCATGAGCCAATTTTGAGCTGAAACGGATCCAAATAACTCAATTTGAGCAAGTTCGTTTTGATTTCGAGCTGGATCGAGCTCAATTCAAGTTTGAGCCGGCTCAGCTTGAAATCGAATAATAACGAGCCACGGGCTGAATTTGAGCTGCACTAAATTTATTCAAGGCGCCAGTCACCTTTATGCATCTAGATGGCCAGGGATATCATTGCTGTTAGAAAGTTGCCGAATTATAAACTGTTTTGTAAACATATTAGAAATTTGACTTAAACCAGCAATAAGAGTAAGAAAAGCTCTTCAATTGTAGCGAGTATTTGTATTCTTAGTTTATAATTCCTTATTCTTTTCTGGTTTCTAGCTAGAGTACTTATTCCTTGACCAAAATAAAAAAATTAGATAAGAAAAATGAAAACAAAGAGGTTGCTGTGAACGACTTCCTGCCCGCCACTGCTGCCTATGATGCGATACAACACTCCATGTAAGACATTCCAGCCTATTTATTCTAATTTTTCTATACGTTGAGTATTTAATAAATAGCTAGATTTACATACAGATCACTCAATTCCTTTGTATTTACATATCTAACACCTAAACTTCAATTTCTAACATAAATGCCACCTTCCGTATGTATGAAAAGGTGCATTTCATTTTTTTAATAAGTTAAAATGGTGATATTTTTGACGTGATATGAAAAATTTTGGTGATAAATGTAAAAAGTGAATTTTAGGTTTTTAGATATGTAAATACGTAAGAGTCAGGTTTCAATTTCTCATTCTTTTAAGAGTGAGAAAGAGAGGCGCTTAGCACCTGCAGCGCAAGTCTAGTTTTAATAATAATGATTAGTATTGTTTTTGATTCTAGCACCAATATTATTTTTTAAAATGTAAAATTTAAGTGTTAGATATGTAAATATAACATTTAAATTCCTCACATTTTCATGTTGAAAAGAAAAAAAAAAAAAAAAAAAAAAAAAAACTGCATCTAGTGATATGTTTTATTATTTTGAAGGGATCTTTATGCATCCTACATTGTGGAGAGCCTAAGGAGATAAGAGCTTGTGCTGGACAAGAAACATTTATCAATTCTGGATGCCTATTTTTTACTGCAAACTCTCTCAATCGGTAATATCTCCCTTATAAGATGTAATATGAACTGCTCTCTATTTGCGCTGTTAAGATTACTGGGCTTGCATTCCAATATTTCATTAGTAATTAGCAAACATTTTAAGCTGGTTACAGACTTGGATGATGAGCCCTGAACAAAATGATTGATGACATTTTCTTATATACAAAACTATTATCCTTTTTAAGCAATCTCTGGCATGGGGTTCACTTGCAGCTTCTTTTGTCATAAATATAATCATAAAGCTTTGTTGTTTTGAGTTTAGAAACTATTATCTTTTAAGTGTTAGAAATGTAAATACAATGCAAATTTTACATAAAAATAAGATGATTATGGTTTCGACTGACCAAACACAATTTTAAAAGAGAGATTAATTCTGTCCACTTCGGGAAGTTAGGCCATAATTGGTGCAAAGAATAAAATATTGGTCCAATATATTGTATTATTTGTGATAAATAAATGCTTGGTTTGATGATATGGCTAACACAGATGCGGGAGCATGCCTTGCGCTTACTAAAAACAAAAACAATTTCAAGTGGTTCTTAATATACTCCATGATTTTATCATGATTGATAAAGTTAACAATAATTTATAGCAAAAAGTAGAAAAAATAATACCCAAAGAAAAGTAGGAAGAAGCATATTCCGAGTAGATTCTCCCCCACCTCATTGCCGCATCCCTTATTCCGCATCCATAAAACCACAAATCCACCTCCTCAATGGACGCCTCCTCCTTCCTCTCCGATGTAGAAACACAGCCCAGATTGTCCCCATGGCTGCGGCCATGCCCTGCTACAGCCCTCTTTTGTAGCAGAGAAGTTTGATTAAAAGGCTGAAGGTTGTTTGCTTTCATGCACTAGGGCAACATGCATACTTTGGCATCACAATCTTCTTCTCCAATAAATTTCCTTTCTTCATCCACCACCATTTTACAGCACTTTTAGTTTGTTACAGTACGCTTTATCCCGTGAAGTCTAAGTTTAATGAACTTCGCTGACATGCAATCTTCTTTGAAGTATAAGAATGCTCTTTTGTTTATTGTCAATTTGTAGTTGTTATATTTGTTGAACTCTGTATGATTCTCATAGCTTGATGATCACATAGAATGATAAACCTAAGGTTCGCCCGATAGAACCCGCGAGCAAACAATGCAATGACATGTCATCACATATTGAGTCCAAATTATTTTGATCGTTGCTAAAGTTCGACAAAGGATGAATCCAAAACATCAAAAATACTTTGCAAATCCCACTTATTCAATTAAAGGGACTTTATATTATATTAAATTAAAAGGACTTTATATTATTATACCTAGCACATTTCTTATGTATTTACATATCTCGCCCCTAATCTTTCATATTTACGCGCATAATACTTGGTATTTTAAATCTATCTATGGCTTTTAAAGTGATAATAGAGCTATTTTTTATTATTTTTTATGTGATAATAAGAATTTGAGTACTTTATATATAAATATTGAAGTTTAGATGTGAGATATGTAAATACGTAAGAATTGTGTGCTATGGATGTGAATGTACCACAATCATTTTGGTCTAATTCACCTGCTTTAAAATCGGTAAAAGACAAACCTACCAAAATATAATAGTTGATGCAGGAAGAATTATAATTAATATTTTTTTTTCTTTTTTTTATAATTACTTTTTTTAATTTTTATGGGTGCTATACAAGATGATGATGATGATGATTCATAATCATGATCATTATAGTTATAATGATAATCACAATAACAATAATAATGATATAAGTAATACTAATAAGATGAAATAAAATAAATAATAAATATTTATATAAAGTAAATGGAATAAATATCATATGATTCATTAATCAATCATAATTTTAATAAAATTCAATGGAAATTCAATTACGATATAGAAACTATTACATAACGATTAGAGGTGTAAATGAACCGAACACGAGTGAGCCCAGACTTAGCTCGTGTGCGGTTCGTTAAAAAATTTCAATGTTTGTGTTTAGCTTGTTTATATTTCAAAAAAAAAAAAAAAAAGGGTTCTTGTTCAGGTTTGCTTAACGAGCCAAACACGAGTTATTCATGAACAAAAAGTCATTTTGGCAATTACTCATGCAATTCTACTTTCTATTTATATTAAAATATTATTAAAATATGATTTAATATTCTTTTATTCTACTTTTTTAATTAATAATTTTGTTTGATTATAAATCTTTACATCATCGTAGCTAATTAAATTTTTTTAAAACACTACTCACTATATATATATATATAGTGAGTAGTGTTTTTAAAAAAAATTAATTGTGTTTATGTGCGCGCCGCAAGCATTGACCTGTTGGTGGCAGGGTCACTATAAGTCCCCTTAGATCAAATGTTCGATCATACCGTGACATGAGTGTTCTGGAATATTAGACACATGACAGACACCCAATCATGTGCCCGAGCACAAAGAAGAAGCAGTATTTGAGGCCCAACGCAAATACCGTTTCCTTATATATATATAATATAATTATTTTGAACTAAAAAGAGTTGAACATAAATGACCAAATCTTTATTCGTGTGAGACTCATTTCTATATCAAGCGCGAAAAGATTGTTCATATTCCGTTTAACTTAGCAAACAAATCAAACACAAATTTCTTAATGAGTCGAACACAAACTATTTGCGAACAAGAAGCCATTTTGACAGCCCTAATCACGACTCAAATATTTTCGGTCATAATTCATTCAATTCCCGCCATCATTCCTTTAATATTCAATCATAAACCATTTAATATTCGACCGTGATTCATTTAACACACGATCATCATGTAAAGATCAATTGATTTGATTGTAGATTATACCTAAATAAAAACAACAAAGAGCACGATCATAACAACTAATATTTACTTTAAATCAAAGCAATCACCAAACAAATACAATCACATTTGTAAAATAACAGACAAAATTTCGATACAATTAAACACGAACGCAATATCTAAAATACAATACAATTGAATTCTCTTTTCTATATTTCAAGTGATTGTAACAATAATAAAAGTTAATCTCACTGTACTTCTGACCATATCTATTTTGACATAAGATGCCCAAAACCTATAGTTAATGAACATGCTTGAGAATCCATAAAATATACTCTCTGAGGATCATCGAAATTCAAACCGCTCATACAATGATAGCAAGTACATTTTCCAAATTTATAATTATGAGTTCAAACCATTAAGATGACAATTGAAGAAAATAAATGCCTGATCATAAGGCTCACTTTTGAATTGATCATTAGCATCAAATTGTCTTAACCAATTTCTTCAACACAACCTTAAACATCCACATACCTTAACAAGACAACCCAAACAAATCAATTACAAAAGAAATCATAAAAGCAAACAAGAAGTTCAAACCACATTTGTACAATCTTCAAAGAAAAGAGTTAATATTGCTCGAATTAAGTTTGAATCTTAATTGGATTTTGTTAGATCATTAGTTTTAATGTTCGAAACAAGTTCAAAGCTGATAATCACTATTATTCTCATGCATTTAAGGTTTAGATTTGTGAATGAAAGCAAATACCAAACAAAGATCTCTCATGAAAGCTAATCATATGCTATCCAGTCACGAACTTAAAATGAAGCTCAGCTAATTTTAAGCATCAAAATAAACATAATATTTATACGAGAAATTACAACCAAACAAAAAAAAAAGAATATTTTGAGAGTAAACCATATAATATAATATAGTTACAATAAAAGCAAACACATTTACCCTCCAAAGCAGGAAAAGATGCAAAAAAACATACCAAAACGCAATGTGGAGAAAGCAAGCATTCTGAACATTCTTGAAGATTTTGCACCATCTTTTAATCACGATGGCCTGGAAAAATAGAAAAAAGGAAGATTTACATACATGCCACTCAATTATTATGTATTTACATATGTAACAGTTAAGCTTTGATCTGTATATATATGCCGCCCTACATATGCATGCAAAAAACATAATTCACATTTTGAAAGTTAAAATAATGATATTTTTGATGTGATATGAAAGATTTGATCGGTATAAATGTAATACGTAGAGTTTAGGAGTTAAATATGTAAATACAAAGGAAATGGGTGGTATGTATGTAAATGTCCCTAGATGAAAATGGGTTAGTTACTTTCGAGATGAAGCTAACGATGATAAATAAGTAAAAAAAAGCACACAAGTGAGAAGGCTCCCACCATGATATGATCTAAGAGGAGCTGGCGTAGAGAGAGTTGGCCCTTTTATCTCCATAAAATTATTTTAACTTGATGATTTGAACATAGTGATAATAAAGCCAAAATAATCAACACACTTCAACAACAACAACAAGCCTTTGTCTTACTAAGTGGGGTTGGCTACATGAATCCATATTCTCCATTGTGTTCTATTGAGTGTCATATTTTGATTTAATTCTAATAATTCAAGATTATTTTTTATACAACATGCCCAAATCTTTTTATATCTACCTTTACCTTACTTAAAATGAGTCAAATTTTAAAAATTTAATCTCCAAGCAGGGTCATCTGATGGTAGACGATTAACTTTACTAAATCATCTAAGACGACTCTCTCTAATCTTGTTTGTCACTAGAGCTACTCCAACCCTTTCATGGACATATTCATTTCGCATTTTGTCTCTAAGTGTCTAAGTGTAAAGCCTCTCATCCACTTGAGCATTCTCATCTTTGTAACACTTAACTTAATTTTAAGCTTTTCTTTTAGAGGCCAATATTCTGTATCATAAAGCATTGCAGGCTGCAGGTCTCACCGTCACAAAAATTTCTTTCTAGTCTGAGCGGTACTTTTCTATCACACAATAAGCCGGATGCATTCTTTCACCTCAACCATCCAACTTGAATTCTACTAATAACATCAATTCAAAATAGTCCAAGCATAAATTAAGTTGAAACAATTGGTACTACAGCTAAAACATAAGGTTTATAAAAGTTACAAAGCAAGCACAAATTCGTAGAATTATCAGCGTACAGGGCAAGCCATGGATATATAATAAGATGTAGAAGCAAATGTAAGCAGGTCATTTAACAATCCACTTTAGAATCGAACACCAAAAAAATAGGGCATTGAAGGGGTAAATAAATAAAAGGAAGATTTACATACATACCACTCAATTCTCATGTATTTACATAACATCTATACTTCAATTTTTACATACAACATCTTACCTATGAATGAAAAAATATATTTCACATTTTAAAAGTTAAAACTGTGATCTTTTTTTATGTGATGTAAAAGATTTTTGTGGTATAAATGTGAAAAGTATAATTTACGCGTTAGATACAAATAAATAGGAATTAGGCCACCTAACACAATAAAAACTACAACACGTGTGATTCACTTAGCCTAATGGTTTGGTGCTTCGTCTCCAACCACGAAGTCTTGAATTTAAAGCCTATTCCATACGAGTATGTGGATGAGTTTAAAAAAAAAACAAAGAAGATCAATTCTTCCACTGATCTTTCGCTTCTTTGATGGATATAGATGAACGGTTGTTAAAAAATTGGAAATCACGCCTCAAATTATAAAGTTAGAAACACTATACAAAAGGCAAAGGGGGAAGGGAGGGCAAAAATGAGAGGAGATGAAACTGAATTGGGGAGGCAGGATTTCACCGGTTTGATTCAAGCTTCGCACTTTGTTAGGACATTTCATTCATGGCAAAGAGTAATTTCATCTCTTAAGAGAAGGTTTACCATTCAAAAACTATAACAAAAAAGGAGCACTAACATACATACCACCCAATTTCTATGTATTTACATATTTGATACCTAAACTTTACTCTTCTTACATTTATACCACCGTCTTTCATAACGCATTAAAAATTACACTATTTTAACTTTTAAAAAGTGTAATACACCTTCTCATGCATAGATAAGATGGCATTATGTAAAAATTTAAAAAATCTACAACAGTAGCCAAATTAATCATTTAAATTCGTCAGCTAGATTCATATAGCTACATCCACCGATTAGAAGCCTTGAAACTATAGACCAAACAATCACCACTGTATCAAAATCACGAGATCTCACAAAGATAAAATACTAATGCAACTCAACAAATTAGTGTTTCACGGAATAACTATACACTTGTTGCCTCAAATCAACACGACTACTATTGAAAATAAGTAAAATTCAGAGAATGTGACTTATAAATACTCTACAAGATTTACGGGGTGGAGTAGATCAAGCTTCACTTAAGGTACGCACAAAATGTCAAATGGAGACGAGTCCTCCCCTTGAAACCCACTAAACTCTTCCATCAACAATGGAAATCATATTACAATTGAGGAATCCAGCGGGCTATAATGAGAGTGCTATAGGCATCAATAATTCCAAATTAGTAAAGCTAAAAAGAAAGGAAACAAAGTCTAATACATCAACTGGAGGCTCATTATATAAAATCAAATAGGTTGCATTGAACACTAGAGAAACAATCCTTATGAAATTTAACTCATTACAGCTCTAACTTGCTGGAGGACTCAATATGAACTAGTCCTCTTTACAGTCGTCTCTTCAATAGCTTCCTCGAGGAATTTTTTAGAGAAGGTGAAGTATCATCATCTCTCTCTCTCTCTCTCTCTCCAAATATTATTGGTACGATCTATGACAATTTCAGAAGATTAATCATTCTCGTAGCTAACAGAAAGCCATTAATCAACGTTGACATAAATATCAGTATATGATTTCCAAATGACAACTCGTGGAACTCAACAAGTATATCATGTTGAAAAAAGGAAAGGGCATTTACATACATACCACGCAATTCCTATGTATTTACATATTTGATATGCCTCGGAACCAAGATCAGCAAACAAACCACACGAAACGACAACAAATAGGTTAAAGAAAGACAAACAGGGGCTGCTCTTACAACAATAAAACAAGCAAGATACATACTTGATCTACTTTCGAGAGGTAGATCGGCTTTCCCACAACCTAAACTCCACAAGGAGAAAAGAAAACAACAGTCACACAAAAACATGCATAAAGAAAGCAAATCCTGGGTTCTCCCCTTAATGGAATCCCCTCCTAGCATTTCAAAATCTTTCATTCTCCTCCTTGGAGGTGATTATGGCCCTAGTGGACCCCACTCTTCCATTTTTTTCTTCTGCGGCTCCCCCATTAGCCATGCCCCTCCTTGTCGCCAAAACCGGCTTGTCTGTGGGCCGGTCACGTTGCCTTCAGCCGGTCCAGGGAGGACCGGCTCCTGTATATGTGTAACATTACTCCCCTACCATTAAGATAACTTATCCTCAAAGTGAAAGGATGGAAAATGCTTGTGAAGCACTCGTAAGGCTCCCATGTTGCTTCATAGTCTGGTAGCCCCTTCCATTTGACCAATACCTCCTTTGCTCCCCTACTCCTCCGAACACTTGATCTTTAATGGCTCCAAAATCACCTCTAAGTCTTCATTCGGCGTTGGCAGTAGCGTAGGTGAGTTTGTATGATCTCCAATTGCACGCCTCAGCTGTGACACATGGAAGACCGGGGTAGTGCGAACGATGGTGATAACCTCAAACGATAAGCCACTTACCTGATGCGTGCCATCACCTCATATGATCCATAATATCATAGTGAAAGTTTATTGTTCCTCCTTTCGACCAATGTCTTCTGTCGGTAGGACCTCATATTCAGGTAGACCATGTCCCTCGGTTCAAACTACACCTCTCTCCCGTGTTCATCCACTTTCCTCTTCATGATATGTTGAGCTCTCAATAAATGCTCATTGCGCTCAACTAGTACCCGATCCTCTCCTCCAAGTATTGATTGACAGTAGATACTGGCGTGGTGCAATGCTCATGATATATCAAAAGGAGTAGATCTCGCCCATACAATATCTTGAAAGGAGGGTCTGTGATGCGGTATGATACGGCGTGTAATACCAATATTTGACCCATGCAATCCACTTGGCCCAAAGTTTCAGCATATTAGATACAAAACAATGCATATATTTTTCCACACTCCTGTTGACCACCTCCGTCTGTACATCAGTCTGGGGATGATATGCAGTGCTCCACTTGAAGACTGTTCCTTGCAACCTGAATAACTCTTTCAAGAAGTGATTGAGAAACACCTTGTCCTTATCCGAAACAATAGATTTTGTTACCCTGTGCAAATGGACCACTTCATAGATAAACACTGTCGCGACTGAGACAGTCGTGTAGGAATGAAATGTGCATTCTTACTTAGGTGATCCATGACCACCATGATCATCGTGAACCCTTCTAACGTGACAATCCTTCAATGAAAGCTATCGTCACTTCTTCCCAAACCTTCCTCGGTAATGTTAATTGTTGTAGCAATCCTCTTGGTGCCATGGTCAAGTGCTTGAGCCGTTGACATACGTCGCATTTTGTAACCATATCCTTGATGTTTCGACGCTTCCTCACTTAATAAAGTTCTGCCGCAAGACGACTGTAGGTCTTCTGCACCCCTGAACGTTCCCCTATCACACTGCCATGAAACCTTACAATAATCTGGGAATATACTTCGACAACTTGGGTAGCACAAATCACCCTTGGTGGAGCAGTTGTTGTCCCCTCAATGCATATCCTAAATGACTTTTTGGAACTTGTAGTAACTTGGTCTTTATCTTTCTCAGTTCCTCATCCCTTTCACTTTCCTATCTCAAGGCTTCCTAATCTAGGACCAAGGGGACCGATAGGGCCATCAATTAGGGCTTATCCACCTTTCTTAACAGTGTGTTAGCTACTTTGTCCTCCAATCTCGGTCTGTCTTAAATCTCGAAATTATACCCCAGTAGCTTGAATAGCCATCTCTGATGCTCTTCAGTCACCATTCATTATTCAAGCAAATACTTTAAGATCCTCTG